AAAACCAGTTAAATAAGATAATGATGGAGGGTCAGGTGATGTATTGTTCCTGCTTGATGTGGGAGCTGGTGGACCCCATTGTGGTTCCTAGTGATCACTTCTGTAGTAAACGCTGGTGGCTCAAGGAGCTCTGGCTCAGATTGATGAGCTGGATTCTGAGCTTTGGGTGTTGCGATACTTCAGGGAGGGGGAAGAGTTACCTGGACATTGTGTTTCAGGAAACAGTCACACTCCTTAGACTAACTAACTTGAATTCGGTCAGTGGTCAGGGACAGGAGGGTGTGGCTGTGAGTGAGGCAGGTTCCAGGATCCAGGAGATAGAGGTGCAGGAACCTCAGCCCTCATCCTTGTCCAACAAGTTGGACAGTCTTGTTCCCTGTGTGGACAGGAATGGGGATTACAGGGAGGATGTGCCAAATAACCATAGCACCGTGGTGCGAGGAGCCATTCAAGTGGGGGAAGAGAAGAGAAATGTAGTTGTAATTGGAGATGGTATAGCTAGGGGTATAGACACTGTTCTCTGTGACCAGGATCGAAAGTTCCAAAGGTTGTGTTGCCTACCTGGTACTCGGGTTCAGGATATCTCATCTGGGCTGCAGAGGAACTTGGAATGGGAAGGTAAAGATCCAATTGTCATGGTCCACATAGGTGCCAAACACATAGATAAAACTAGGACAGAGGTTTTGCTAAGAGAGTGTGAATAGCTAGGAGCTAAATTGAAAAGCAGAATCAAAAAGGTAATAATCTCTGGATTACTACCTAAGCCACGAGCTAATTGGCACAGGGTCAATAAGATTAAGCAGGTAAATGCGTGGTTTAAAGATTAGTGTGGGAGAAATGAGTTTGAATTCATGGGACATTGCCACCAGTACATCTTCTAACCTGGTCCACTGTATCTGTTGCTCCCGATGTGGTTTCTTCTACATTGGAGGGACCAAACGCAGACTCGGTGACCAATTCAGGGAACATCTGTGCTCTGTACGCTCCAATAAACAACAGCTTCTGGTTGCCAGTCATTTCAACACCTCCTCTCACTCCCTTGGCAACATGTCCATCCTGGACTTCCCCCATAATGAGGCTACATGTAAACTGGAGGAACAACACCTTATATTCAGTCTTGGGAGCTTACAGCCCAATGGCTCAACATAGAGTTCACCAGCTTCAAAATCTTCCCACCCCCCCAGCCTCAGCCCATGTCCAACCCTCTCTCTCATCTCCGCCTCCTTGACCTGACACAACCTTGACCATCTTCCTTCTCACCTATCTCTACAAACCCCTAGCTGCATCCACCTATCACCATCCTACCTACCATTCCCCTAGCCCCACACCCCTCCCTCCATTTATTTCAGAACTCCCTTCCCCCTCCCCAGTCCGGATGAAGTGTCCAGACCCAAAACATCAACCCTCCTGCTCCTCTTCTCCAGCTCCACACTTTATTGACTCTGGCTTCCAGCATCTGCAGTCCTTACTATCTCCAAATTTGGAAGGTAGACCTGATTTATGGTAAAGTGCTTGTTGTGTTTAATTAGTACATTAATCAAATAGATTTGATTAAAATATCAGCAAAACAAAAATGCTGGAAATATTCATCCATGCAGAAACAGCTTCAAGTTGAATATGACACTGGGACAGATATTGAATTAACTGCATCTTACTGTAATGATTAGACATGTACTTATTGAAGTAGGATGAATAGTCACAAATGAGCAACATAAGTATCACAATGTTACAAGCAGGCTGCATTGACACTAAGTGTTAGACCATTAAACTTGAATATTACAGACTTGCAGATAAGGTCAAAAAAATTATGGAGCAAAACGCAGTGAGATATTGTCACCGTGCTTTTATTTTGACAGCTTGGAGAAATTGACGATGATGATTGCCACTAATCTCAAAACAAAAGCTTTCCACAAATGACCTACCAATTTCTGCAGCACGTATTTCCCTTTTACAAATGTCAGTGTGAATTTGTCACCAAGTCAAAATTTATCTGCAGGTGTCCAGCAATAATGATGTAAACAAGAAGGCTAAACAGCCAATTATATTGAAGTATTCTCACAGACAGCAACCTTTGCAGTAAATTGATTTGAATGTTCTATTTTATTTAAAATCTTATAGTGTGCAAAATAAATAATTGGGACTTACATATGGATTAAAGTAGGTGAATTATGATAAATTTTAAAATGATTTTTAATCATAAATATTATGAACTGATATAGTAGGGGTGGAATGTGTCTGTAATAGGTTTTAAATTTTAAAAGGCTGTATTTGTCAATTCAGTGTGTATTCCATCTCAATTCAACTAGAATCAAAGAAGATTGTTGGAGGGCATGTCAGAAACAGCATCAGACATACTTAAAAATGGGACCTTTTTGAAGCTGCAACACAGGACTATCTGCATGTCAAACAGAAAAAGCGACTTAATATGCAGAACTTAATGATCCCACAACTAACAGCTCAAAGTACTGCTGTCCTGCCATAAAACCTGTGAACAATGATGACTAATTAATCAAGTAACTAGGAAAAGGCAGCACAAATGTGATATTATTGTATTAACAAGACCATCTTCAATGATTAGGGACCCAAGCACATTAGTAAAAATGGACAAGACAGAAGCATTTACATCCTCAACCAGATCTGCCAAGTGGCTAATCACTCATCCGCCTCCTCAGGTCCCCAGCATCACAGATGTCAGTCTTTGTTCAATTTGATTCATTCCACTTGGTATCAAGAAACAGCTGAAGGCACTGGATACAGAAAAGGCTAAGGGCCCTAACAACGTTCAGCAATCATGATGAATTCTTGTACTCCAGAGCTAGCCACACTCTAACCAACTATTCCCGCACAGCTACAACAACACCTACCCAGAAATGTGAAAAGTAGCCATATTTCTTGTCCATAAAAAGCAAGTTAAATTCAAACAGGCCAATTACTGCCCAGAGTCTCCTTGATCCTCAGTATTAAGGTGATGTAAGGTGTCATTGACAGTGCTATCAAATGATACTTACACATTAATTATCTGTTCACTGGTGGTCAATTTAGAGTTCTGCCAGGACCAATCAGATAATGAACTTATTACAGCCTTGGTCTAACATGAACAGAAGAACTGAACTAACAGTGGGGTTAGATTGAATGCCTTGATATCAGGTAGCTTCTGATCAAGTATGGCATCACGGAGCTTTAGTAAAACGGAAGTCAATGGGATTCATGCAGAAGACTCTCATCACTGGTTTGACTCACACGTAGGAGAAAGGAAGATGGTTGTCCTTGTTGGAAACCAATTGTCTGAGCCCCAGGACATCACTGCACAAGGTCCTCCAGGTTAATGTCTGGAACAAGCTGCCAGAGGTGGCGATGGAAGCAAATACAATTGTCATTTAAGAAACATTTGGACAGATAAATGGATGGGATAGGTATGGAGGGATATTTTTATTTCTTTATTCGTTAACGGGATGAGGGCGTCGTTGGCTAGGCAGCATTTATTGTGCATCCCTAATTGCCCAGAGGGCAGCTGATAGTCAACCACATTGCTGTGGGTCTGGAGTCACATGTAGGCCAGACCAGGTAAGGATGGCAGTTTCCCTCAAAGGACATTAGTGAACCAGATGGGTTTTTCCAACAATCAACAATGGATTTGTGGTCATCATTAGATTCTTAATATGGACCATACACAGGCAAATGGGACTTGATTAGTTGTGAAAACTGGGTGGCATGGACAAGTTGGGCCAAAGGGCCCGTTTCTATGCTGTAAACCTCTATGACTCAATGACTCATGTCCCCTGCCCAATTTTTTCAGCTACTTCACGAATGCATTTCCCTTCATCATAAGGTCAGAAGTGGGGATGTTGCTGATTATTGCATAATGTTCAGTAGCAATTGTGACCCTTCAATTAATGCAGCAAGATCTGACCAACATTTAGGTTTGGGCTGATAAATGACAAGCAACATTGATGCCCCAAGATGTCAGGTGATGATTATCTATCAACCAAACAGAATCTAAATATCCCACCTTAATAATAAATGACATTTCCATCACAGAATTTCCTAGTATCCACATCCAGGTAGCTTCCATTGACTAGAAACTGAACTGGATCAGCCATTTAAATACTGTGACTGCAAAACAGGCCAGAGACTAGAGATAAGTGTGGAGCTGGAGGAACACAGCAGGTCAGGCAGCATCAGAGGTGCAGGAAAGCTGACGTTTCGGACCCGAAACGTCAGCTTTCCTGCTCCTCTGATGCTGCCTGGCCTGCTGCGATCCTCCAGCTCCACACTGTTATCTCTGACTCCAGCATCGGCAGTTCTTACTATCTGTCAGAGATTAGGACTTATTTTGTGGAACCTCCTCACTGTCTCCATCAGCCACCATCTCCAAAGGCGCAACTCAACAATGTGATGGGATACTCTCAACTTTCCTGAGTGGATGTGGCTGTAATAATATTCAATAAACTCAAGTCAAGGATAAAACATTTGTTTAATTGGCACTCTCATGCACCAAATAAAACATTAAAAACATCCATCAGAGCTGCAACTAACAACATATACTATGTCTCAAGATGCACATTTGCAACTCACCAATACTCCTTCGATAGCATCTTATAAACTCTTTTCGGTTAGTTGGTACGGTATCACTTTAGCTGCACTGCTATTGGATCAAAAGCGCAGAACTCTTTCTTTAACAGTACTGTGTGTGCAAGAAGGTTACTCACCACCACCTTCTCCAGGGCAATTAGGGATGATTGACAAAAGACGGCCTAGCCAGCAATGTCTACATCCCACGCTATGGTTTTTGTAACAGTGCAGACCGATAGTTGAGAACGGGCCCACACGGAATTCAGCAAAACCGGCGCCAGCTGCAGGCCCCACCCCTTCGGTATGGACCCACCCCCTTCCAGACCCGCTCCGGTCACCGCGAATGCTAATCGGTCGATGCGCCTGTCAATCAGCGCCAGCTGGAGCCTGCGTCTTCTGATTGGATGGCCCTGCAGTTGGGAGGGTGGGGAGGAAGGGAGATGGGTGAAAGATGTGAATGGGTACTGTGACCGAGCCAGGCTCAGTGAGCTCTTCAGGTGCTGCTGCTGGACGGAGGGAGGGCATATACACACATACACAGGTACGGGGTGATCAACTCCGAGCGAGCGCTGCTGGCGCTGTCGAAGGCTGGTGTCTATCGCCGAGGTGGCAATAATTCATTCTCATCAGCTCCTCCAGACTGACTGTCCGCTCCATATCCCAAAGGTTCAAGATTTGCAACGGTGCTCACTGCACCGGCTCCAATGGGATGTGTGAATATCGGCGCGGTGTCAGCACATCAATCGGAAAGCGGGGGTTCCAGCTCTTCAGTGATAATAACTAGTTTCATAGTGTTTTTATGTTAAATTTCTTTTTTCGGAGGATAAATCCGGAACAGTTGAGTGATATTTTTAGGGTAAAAATCAATACGTAGGAAATAAATCAGGAATGAAATTTGCAACACCGTCACCAGTGAAACATTTCATTTGGTGCAAGTTTTTGTGATGAGTTTTTTTTCTCATTATGGTCAGTTTCTGTTTAGACATTTTGGAAATCTCGCTGTTTCGAAATTGGCAAATAGGAAACAGTGCACTAGTTCCTAGAATAACATAAGTGCGTGCCATTGGAGGTTGATCATTTGTTATCGCTCATATATAAGGCTCTGAGATGGTCATGTTTCCACTCAAGCGATGTCATTTCACGACTCGGTGCAAGACTGCACTTATTGTGTACTGTGTTTTCTAGGATGAGAGGAGACGATCCGCTCGCTGGCATGAGGAACCCGAAACGGTTCAGTGACAGAGCTGCTGCCTGCGATTTTTTTCTGCTTGGGGCTGCAGACTTTCGCGATCCCAATGATCACATCCTCTCTCAGGAAGACTTTGACGAGATAACCGACTTCAACGACCTCCCAACCTCACTTTTTGCCTGCAACGTACATCAGTCTGTTTTTGAAGAAGAACAAGGAAGGGTATGTGTGACCATTGGTAATATGAATGCAGTTGGAACTGAAATCAAAGTGGACCAATGTGTTCTGGTGTTGTTTATATAATTGTTGCAAGTGCGTCAGATGATCTCAGACTAGACGTTCTGTTTATTACCGACAGCGGAAATGATAAAGATTTTGTTGATAAATGCTATTGGAGCATTTTATTGGGAAGAGTCATGTAACACAGTAAAGATTTTATGAAATCAGGAGTTTTGATACGAGTTACCAATCTTTCAACAGGCCATTGACATACTGTTTGTCGAGCATTTATTTTGGTGTTAATTGCAACATGCAAGTGGTTGTTGATTTGATTACCCAAGGAGAGGTTAAAATGTTGAACCTGCTACCGCACGGACAAGTTGAAATGAATGGCTTGGGTGCATTTATTGGGAACGTAAACTCGTGCCTGTGGAAGAAAGAAATAGGAGGATATGCATATAAGGTTAGATGAAGTAAGTAGGGAGGAACATGTTGTTCAGGATAAACATCAGCATTGTCCAGTTGGCTGATAGTACATCTTTCAGTGGTGTAAATTTTGCTAAATATTTCCGTAATAAGACTGCTTACAATCAAGACTGATTTATAGCAAAAGTATGGAAACTGTTGAGTAATCCATCTCATCTATAAAGGCACTAGCTATCCCAATGTGCAATGCCATGCAACACCAAATTCCATTTCAGTCACTGAGAATTGAAAGTCAAGTTTTGTTTTGTTTCAGCACTACCCAAAAAACCAAAACACAGTGATTTCTGCTTAAAAGAAATGTTTCTATTGGGTGTTTGAAATCCTTTGACTCCCTGACTGTGATACTTTACAGTTTTGTTAATGGAAGCTTGAGCCTGCAGTTGCAACATGGTGATATGTTCCTCTAAATGACAAACTAAACTCATAGCTCAATCAGACAAGGTACAATATAAAGTACATGTAAACAGTGTACTATTTATAGCACATTGAGAGAAAACTACTGACCCTGTGCTATTTTTGGATGTGGTGCAAAAACACTTCTGTAGTTCTGCAAGGTTTACTGTCCAACAATCCAGCAGAAAGGACCTTTTGTGTAGAGTGTAATTGTTCACTTTGTTTCTGAAGTGTGACACATGATACAACTTTAAAGATTTAAAAATCAATTTTAGCACATCTTATTGCAAAAAATACAAACATACTGCAATATATAAAAATCCACGCATGCATTTATAGTTATTACTGTTATGTGAATATATAGTCTATTGTTTATATAAAACTATTTGAAATTCAATAAGTAAGTGTAAAATTAGCTTTATTTTCATTTTCTCCTAAATTATTTGCCATATTGAAATACATATCCAAATAAGGATTTAAGCTCTTAAATATAAGGCTATTACACTCCCAAAAATAAAGTAATCTATTTTTGTTCATGGGTTGAGTGACCATTTTTAGCTCCCAAGTGAACACTACATAAAATATGTAAAAAATTTTGATTCAAAATGAGTTCCAGATTTTGAGAGTGCAGGCCCTGTGAATTCCAGGATGAGTAATATTTACAGAGCTGTTTTTAGTAGAATTTACAAAAAAAGTCACAGTAATATTTTCATGTTGTTGAAATAGTCCTTGGTACATTGAGAGGTAGGCTGAACTTCCCATCACAGTGAAGCAGTTTCAAGTTAACTGACCAATTCCTTGAAATTAACTCTGTTCAGACATGAAGCCCTTTCACTGAATCCTTAGTTGACAATAAACTTTTTCAGCCTCTAACATATCTTTTAATGAACCCTTTAAAATAAAGTGAATTGTATCTTCAACATGTTAAGTGTTTCATTTAGAATAATTAGATAACAGGAAATACCTGAGTGGTGAGTTCAATCAGTGTCCTACACTATATGAACGATGGTTGTTCAGTTTGCAAGTTTAACCTGAACTCCAAATGTTAGACTGTATATTCAAAATTACTTTCAATTATGCCGACTTGAAATGCAATTTGATTGCGTGTTGCTGCTTTTATGTTGAAGAGTTGTCCATGTCCTTGCTGCTGGATTTTGCTCAAAAACAAGGACCAATGTTTGTTATTGTATCGTTATTACAGGTTTAGCAAGAAGTAATATTTGAACCTGTGATATAAATAGGAAACTGAGTAGACAATAATGCAGTATAATTGAGTACCATAATTTTCAAAATAAAACACTTACCCAAAATGATACAGTCTCCAAGCATTATGAATGAAGAATAAAATTTGCACAACTAAAATAGCTTTCATTGGAATCATTGGCACAGGCTAACTTGGGCAAGTAAGGTACATTTGGTAGACTTAGAAGGCATTCGTAGGTCTCCTGCCCAAGTACACTTGGAATTGGAGCCAATAGGCTTCTTTCCAGGAGCAGATGCAATAATGTGCAGAGTGTGGTACTTAACAAGCCAATCACCTTAGTGGAGTTGCTTCCTAAACTTGTAAGGCAGAATTTTTCACTGTATTGTTCTGAATTTAAAAAAAATTCACAGCTTTTGTCTTTTTCCTGGGTATGTGACTGGCCAGTTGCAAATGATGGATTTCAGCTGTAGCAGGTCTTTTAAACCAGAGATTTACCAAAAGTGCAACAAGTAACTCTACCTTGGAATCTATCTGTTGGGCATCAGGAAAAAACTAGCATTTTTGCTCATTGCCCAGTAGACCAAAGAAACCTAGATGGCAATTGAGGTGTCCTTGTCAAGAGTGCCTTTAAGAGGTATTGTATCACAAAAGCGACTGATAGTTCTCTGGTGCGACAGCATGGAGAATGAAAATGATGTCTGCAGTGATACCATTTAAGTTGACAATGAAGTGTTAGACCCATGTAAAGTGTTTGAAGTTCAACCACAGCTTTGCATATAAAGCATGGACATTTCCAAGTGTGAATCTATGCATAAATGTAAATAATTCTCGAGATTTAGCTTCTTGATAATTTCATTCAAAAATTAAGTTTGTATGTAGAAACATAGAAAATCGGTGCTTGAGTGGGCATTCAGCCCTTCGAGTCTGTACCACCATTTAATATGATCATGGCTGATCATGCAATTTCAGTATCCCACTCCCACTTTCTCTCCATACTCCTTGATCCTTTTTGCTGCAAGAGCCAGGTCCAGCTCCCTCTTGAATACATCTAATGAACTGGCCCCAACAGCATACTGTGGGAGAGAATACTACAGGTTCATAACATAATGAGTGAAGAAATTCTTCCATATCTCAGTCTTGAATGGGCTTATCCCTTATTCTTAGATTGTGACCCCTAGATGTGGACTTCCCCTGCATCAGGAACATTCTTCCTGCATTTAGCCTGTCCAGTCCTGTCAGATTTTACATGTTTCTATGAGATTGCCCCTCATTCTTCTAAAAACCTGTTTAAAAACTAATGCAAACAATAGTAAATTCTCATTTATGGATTGGAAAAAAGGATAATTTAAAAGAAACACCATCAAACGCAACATTTCTAGCAGAAATTCACCATCGTTCACAATGCATCTGGAAAAGATGTCCTGACCAGCTTCAAAATAACCATCTTGATTAACTTTAAAAATTCTTTCATAGGTTTTAGGTATCACTGACAAGGCCAGCACTCGTTTCCCATTACTAATCTTGCTTGCATTGAGTAGTGTGCTAGGTAGTTGAGAATTAATGATACTGTTGTGGGTCTAGAATCACATGTTGTCTAACCAGGCAAAGATGGCAAATTTCCTTTTCTGATTAGGGAACAAGATGGATTTTACGAATAACTGATGATAGTTTTGTGGTAACTATAACCTGAGCTAGCTTTACATTCCAAATTTAATCATGGAATTTAAATTCCACCATCTACCATGATGAGAGTTGAATCCATTGCATCAGAGCATTAGTCTGGGCTTTTGGAATACCAGTTCAGTTACGTTACCATTGCACCACTCCATTCCTGGTTTATTGCGATACTTATCCTATATTTAGATAAATTGTTCAGGTAAAATTATGGTAGCTATTTTAGAACTCTTAACAAATGCATTTCAGAAGCATCATGGTTAAATTATTATCCCATACTTCAATAGATGTATATCGATCCCAGAGTGCCTGTGATTCTCTGAAAACATGTCTCTTAGTGAATTTGACAGTAAGAATTAAAAGATAATAAGAGAAGTAGAACATTTTTACTAGCCTATTTATAAAGCTTAAATTTGCATGGCACATGACACAATTTTGTAATTTGTGAAAATAAACATGTGTTTTCTTTTGAGTATGAAACTCAGCAGCTGTGATAAATTAAATCTAACCATTTGTTATGGTAACTTAGGCATTCTAGTGTCATAAATGTATATCTGACTGACTTCTGCAGTGGCTACGTATTAGAACCAGCACCAAAAATATGAAAAGGAAGTCCACTTCCATGCCAGAGTCACATTGATCATAAATCGCACTGAGCCATATCTGATGTGACAGGAACCGTTCATAAAATATGTGTGCAATAGTAATTGTAATTTCATAGAATAAAGTGATACTTTTCATAGGGGCACAAACTCCTGTGCCTCTGTGTATCTGTATATGCAAATTTGTTATCATAGTGCATTTTTGATAAAGTAGAAATAACTATGGTAACTTAGATTTGTAGAATCATAGAGATGTAAGCACGGAAACAGACCCTTTAGTTCAACTTGTCCATACCGACCAGATATCCTAAATTACTCCAGTACCATTTGCCAGCATTTGGCCCATGTCCCTCTAAGCCCTTCCTATTCATCTACCCATCCACATACCTATTAAATTATTAGTAATTATTAAACCCTTAAGAATTATGACTTGGCTCTCTTGCAACATTATAATTGCCCACTCTAAAATTAAATGTAAAACGTTTTCTTTTAAAATGTTTTGACAAAAACTGCTACCTGTATGAACAGATTTGAATGATCCTGAGCCATGATTAAATGACAAATCTAAACCACAATAATTATAGATATAGTAACATCACATCCTTACTCAGTGTATGTGCACAGTACTTGATTCTGAGTTTTTG